GGGGTGTATTCCAGAAAGCGGGTTTTGTTGGAAACTCAGAGTTTGTTAAGCACAGAAAAGGGAAACTCAGTGTTTTCGGTTCCAATAAAAGACAAAACTAAACCTCTCGGTAACCATCCATAGTAACTTGCTCTGTGAACCTAACCTGGTCGGGAGCAGGTTTTCTTCGGTAAACCCAGAGTTTATTTCGGTCTCCTCCCCCTTTTTAAAGCGTAAGCGATGTTTAAATACCTCATTCATTCATTCATTCATTCATTCATTCATTCTGCAAAAATGCTTTTATTGCCGAGATGTTTGCCTTATTTCAAGTACAAATATCTAAAAATTCTTAAATCATGATGCATTTTCTATATAAAAATAAAATACAATATATTTAGTCTTGTTTCCTGGGGGAAATAAAATGATCTGCCAGTGGGGTAAGAAAAATAATCTTAATGCAAATGGAAACAAGATTATTTTTCTCACTGCACCACTTTAATTTTCATCATGCAGCCACTGTAAATGTGACAAAAATGGCATGTCTTTTTACATGGGATCCTGTAGATGAGGAGGCTGCATTCATTCGTGGGGATTTACATCAGGAGAGGATTTAATTTAATTTGATTTAATTTATTTATTTTGCCATGTCCACATCCATATTTATTTGAACGGTACCATTTTTAAATGCCGTTCACTTGATAACATCTTTTTGCGACCTCTAAGTAACCTAATAATTAGAATTTCCATTAGGATTTCCAGTGTGGTTGGATGCATTGATTACACACATATTCTCACCTTCCAAAAAAAAAGATGATTACTGTATGGAATGGAAGGATGCCAGATGGAAGGGTAGTGCAAGATATATGCCGTAACCACCACCACAGCTGTTAAATAAACAAAGTATCCACAATTTATTTGGTCATCTTTATGTTCTACAAATACAAAAGTAACACATTATTATTTTCCCTGTTGGATTTTAATATTGGTATTGTGGCCATCTCCTCTTCATCTGTCAGTGGTGCTGGTGCAGGTTCTCCTCCCACTTTATGAGTCTCTGCCTTCCTGCTGTTGGCTTCTGAATAGAAGTCAAATATTTTTCATTACCGTAATTAAGAAATGTTGGATTAGAGAACATTTAATTGTGTGAAAAAGCATTAGACTATGTGGGAAAAGCTGCTGCACATTGAAATAGATATACATTGAATGATATTTATTGAATGTAAAATATTTGTAAAGTCATGTAATGTTAGCCTACACCCATTTCACGCTTGCAGCTTTACCTGATTTAATTATGTTTTTGTTTTGTTTTGTTTTTCTGCTGCCACATTTTTTTCTTTTTTTGTCCGTGGGATACCACGAAAGTGAATATTAGTTCAATATATTACTTTTCTGCCAGTTTTCACCTCTGATAACATTGATTAAGAATTAAAGTTACATATTCCGTAGTATGCGGAAGTATTTTTGGCGGGAGCTGTTGCCATGGTGAATCGTAATTTCGGAGCTCCATTGATCATGGCTTTTAACAGTCGTGGTGCACACGCTAAACTCAGAGTCGACCTACTCAGAGTGGATTAAACTAACTCTGTTCAGCTGTTCTGAAACCGAAAACTTTCCCATCTCAGGGTAAGTCAACTCAGAGTTCAAGTTTTAACTCTGAGTTTGTTGAACCTGCTTTCTAGAATACACCCCAGGTTTTCACATGGTGTATTTTATATTGATAACTCTTATGTTTGATGCATTTTTGAAAATGGGTTTGGTCTGTTGCAGTTTCACACATTTTTGTCATTAAACCTGAAAATGTAGCTATTGTCATGGTACTGGAGAGTGATGAGGCGAGGACTCAAATGCTGGAGAATAATGGGTATTTTTAATAATAAAAAGAAACAAAACAGACACAAACTACCCCGAGGTAAACTAAAACCAGGCATGAAGGCAAGAACAGGTAGAACTAGCCCAATACCAGAAACACATAGACACATTTGACTACATACGACAATGAAGAAGCAGAGGACTGAACGCACAAGGAGAATAAATAGGGAGACAAACAAAGAGGGTAACGAGGGAGACACAGGTGGAGTAACTTAAACAATAATGAGGTGACAAGATGGGAGGGGACAGACAATAAGACAGGAGAGAGCACATGGCACCAAACAAACACAACACAAGCCATGTGCTCACAAAAATCCACAGGAGTGCCCTCTGGTGGCCCTCTTGGGCAGTCCAGCTGCAGACCGTGACAGCTATAAATTGCTTGTTTAAATTCATATCTGCTGAATACAAATACGTACAATTTTTTAAACAGTGGGTGAGTAGATCACGCCATTATTTTATGTTGCTTTATAAAAGCCTCACTTAGCGAAACAGAAGTGCAGATAAAGCTTAATGCAGGCATCTAATTTTGCAGGTTTGAATTCATCCCAAACATCAGTCCTTCTCTCCACACTGGTGTGGCGGTAAGCCCAGATGCTTTCTGCACTTCAAAGCTGTTAAGACCTGGCTTTCTGACTGTGTGTAAAACAAAGGAGCTTTACTACCTCTGCCTTTAAGCTTTTGAGGGGCACGAAAAAACAAAAACAAACAAAAAAAACTCAATATCACCTCTAAGAAAAGATTCAGGAATAACACATTAAACAACAAAGACGAAAAACACTCCCAAAAGTGTTTCAAACTTCCTTCACTGCTCTTCTTAAAGTTCTTGAAAAGACTGTTGAATAGCTAAAGGAACAAGCGTGAAGCTGAGCGAGAGAGAGTTGGGGTGGGAAACGGATGAGGCCTGTCTTATCGTCTGCCAGAGTGGCTTAGATTAGCGGGGAGCAGGACATAGAATGAGGAGTGGGAGAAGAAGAAAAAAACACAAAAACTGCTGGGCGATATTAAAACAGACAGTTGCATTAGCCTACTAATAAGATGAAACAGTGCAATACTGAAAAAAAAGGTAGAACTCCCTTTCGTGCTTTCTTGGATTCTATATTTTCTTATTGCAGAAATAAGAAGCGCAGGTTTTTCATCTAAATTCTCTCACCAGTATCCAATAGCAGGTAACTGATAACAGGGAGTTGAAGGACTCCATTATGACATGTCATAGGTTTAACTAGCAGCATATTAATTATAGCTTTTTTGCATCAGCCGTAGCCAGAGCCAGGGCAAATAAAATAAGCCCTGAACTTTTGACTATTCCCACCAGACTTCATCGTTATCAGCACTGTGTCGAACCGCCCAAAGCAGTCCTGTCGGCAAACGACTGCTGAATGTGTTCTGTCCGAGTGGGGTTTATGATTTATGAGGCTTGTGCGGGCTAATCACCGCAGGAGATGTAGAGGAGCATCATCGTGAGAAACTCCTGCACACTTGCGTTCGGCTCCACTGACTGCAGGATGTTGTGATTCATAGGAAGCATGTCAAATTCCTTTCATCATGCCTGTCCTTTTCTCTCTATTTCGCTCTAATTTTCACTCTCTAAGAAGAACACACCCATTTTTTTTTTTTTTTTTTTTACAGTCAGTTTTATGTGGACACATTAGTCTTTCTAGGGAATTGTGGTCTTGGTGGGCCAAAGGGCAATTTTTGTAAGCAACATATTTCACTGTAGTAGTACTATACATGTTTTGCTAGAGCCTTGTTGTATGTTTATGTGGAGAACTCTTATGAGGATAGTCAAAAAATGAAAAGTATCTCATATTTACTCCCCCTCATGTCAAAAAAAAAAGGTCATACAGGTTTGGAATGACTTTAAGGTGAGTATGTGATAACATCTCTAGGTTACGTATGTAACCATGGTTCCCCGAGGGAACAAGATGCTGACAAATGTCCTGCAAGGCCACACCCAAGTTGAAAACCTTGGAGGCCGCCATACTCCTGGTCGAGTGCGCTCTGACACCCATAGGTGACGGGAGGCCAGAGGACTCGTAGGCTAGTCAGATGGCCTCGACTATCCACCTACTCATAGTCCGCTTGGTTGCCGGAAATCCTTTCTTTGGCGGACCAAAGCAAACAAACAGCAACTCCTTCCCACAGACCCTGGGCAGAGTGGCCACTCATGACCGCCCCCCAGCCCGTGAGAGAGGCATCTGTTGTTAGCGTTACAAGACGACAAGGAGCCCCTAACATTGGGACTTGAACTAGGAACCAACGTTTCTTCCATATGTCCAAGGCTCGTAAGCATCGCCGCGTGACCTTGATCATGTGAAGAGGATTCCCCCTCGGGGAAAATCCCTTGGTCCTGAGCCACCACTGCAAGGGTCTCATGTACAGCAGGCCAAAAGGTATACCGTTGGACGCCGCTGCCATCAAACCCAACAGCCTCTGATACTGTTTGACAGTGAGTGACTGGCCTTCTCTTACTCTCGCGACTGTCGTGAGGATTGACTCGATTCGAGCAGGAGACAGACGTGCCTGCATCGACTTTGAGTCCCACACCACGCCTAAATAAGTGGTTCTCTGTAGTGGAGAAAGTACACTCTTCTTGGCGTTTAGTCTTAACCCCAGCTCTCTCATATGGGCGAGGACGACATCTCGATGCCGAGCCGCCATCTGCTCCGATTGAGCTAGTATTAACCAATCGTCGATATAATTGAGTATGCGGATGCCCTGGAGTCGCAAAGGAGCCAGAGCTGCATCCACACACTTCGTGAAAATGCGGGGTGAGAGTGACAGGCCAAAGGGAAGAACTCGATTTTGGTATGCTTCGCCCCCGAAAGCAAACCTCAGGAAATTCCAGTGTTGAGGAAGGATGGAAACATGGAAATAAGCGTCTTTGAGATCTATCGTAACAAACCAGTCCTCGGACTGGATTTGAGATACTATCTGCTTGATAGTGAGCATCTTGAACCGAAGCCGTTTGATAGCGCGGTTCAGAAGACGGAGATCTAAAATCGGACGCAACCCCCCATCCTTCTTCGGAACGATGAAGTAACGGCTGTAGAACCCGGACGCTCTCTCGAGAGGAGGAACACGTTCTATGGCCCCCTTCCTCAAGAGAGTATCTACTTCTTGTTCAATTACCAGAGCCTGCTCGGGGCCCACTAGTGTGGGAATGACCACGTTGTAACGAGGAGGACGAGAACCGAACTGGATTCTGCAGCCTTTCTCTACAACCTGCAGGACCCATTTTGATATATTTGGCAGAAGTTCCCACGCTGCCAGAAAATCTACTAAGGGAACCAGCGGATGACCGGCAGGGAACAACCGACCTGACTGCTGTAGCCTCTTCACTTGAGGGGGCGAGCTCTCCCGTGCCGTACCGTCGCCGGGCGGCAGCTGGGAATTTTGCTCGTCGGAGCCCACTGAGCCCTGAAGCACCGAGGGTGGCAGGGGTATCAATGAACCTCCGTGAGGGCATTGAGGGAACAACCGACCTGTCTGCTGTAGCCTTTTCACTTGAGGGGCGAGCTCTCCCGTGCCGTACCGTTGCCGTGCCGCAGCTGGGATTTTCGCTCGTCGGAGCTCACTGAGCCCTGAAGCACCGAGGGTGGCAGGGGTATCAATGAACCTCCATGAGGTATATGCTTGTGCGGACAGACAACAGTAAATAGATAGACACATACACAGAGCGCTACTGAAGAGCAGAAGCTGGTTTGCGCTCTGCCGGATGCACTTTTATACTTTCTGGTTCTTACGTCACCCCGCTCGTGACGTCTCGCTATTCCATTGGGCTGATTTGATACGTGCTTCAGAACGCGGTCACGCAGGGGCATTCCCAAAGCGATCTCGACGCAGCTCGAGTTCCTGAAGGGGAACAGAATTTTCATTTATAGGTTAACTTTCCCTTCAAAAGACTAAAAAGATAGTAGTTCGACTATCAATAGTTGTTTGTTTATAGTTGTTGGGACTCTGCATATACTTGTGTCAATGTTGTCATGATGTACTTTTCTTGCAACTTTAGAGTAATTAGTCACGTGTCATTTATGGCTCAGCTGATTGGCTCAAAACAAAGATGGCAACTGAGCAACTGCAACTGAAATGAATGGGAATGCTAAGCTTTTCTCGATATTATAGGTACTCATATATTAAAGTAACCATAACATTTGCATGGAATCTGTGCTTGAAATCTACGTTTCAAATTAGTACTCTGTAGCAACTACAATTACATGTCTCCAAAGGAAGCAATTAAGCATAATTATATTATTGTATCTAATATGAGCTCACATAAGGACTCGGGCAGTTGAACAGCAGGGACAACATTCAAGGAAACAGCCAAATTATCCCTTTGACAATTACAAAATTGTCCGTATTACCAGATCTAAATACCATTGACCCATTATTTGGATTTCTGGAACACTGAGTGTAAGACAGATAATTGCTTTTTCCTCTCAGAAAAATGGGACCTTTTTATTTTTGAGAGCAGCCAGAAATGAGTGGCCATGCTCCTTTTTAAATGTAATGAATGTAAATTCACATTTATTTCTATTCATATCTATAGCTTTATCAATGGAGACTGGTTCTTTTCAAAAGGGAAAAAGCACGGGTGTCAGTTATCTATGGCAAAATGTACTTTGATCTATTTATTTAGTTTGTTTTGTATGTTGCTTCTATAGTCTATAGTCTATGCTTAGACTATAGAGCACACCTTTCTCTATATTTCAGAGAAAGGTGTGCTCTACTTTTACTCATGACTGCCATATTTTGATTACATTTTTGGGGAAGCTATGCTTCTCATGTAAAGAAATCATCATTGAACAAATATATATATGTGTGTGTGAGTGTGTGTGTGCATATCGCATGTTGTTTGTACATGTTTGATGTGTGTTTCCACTCAGATGAAGCACCATGATGTTCACAGGTTGCAGAAAGAAATAAGCCAGATTTCATGAATCACATGGGGTGAACACACATTTCAGTAGAAGTGTTTGTAAGCTTTCAGCAAGTAGAGAAAGCGGGAACCGAAGAGATCTGAACCTTCAATTACTTCCCTCCTCAGGGGCTGCATGGGGATTGGGAAACAGGGTGATGAGAAGAGAGAGAGAGAGAGAGAGAAAAAGAGAGAGACAGAAGCAGTTGTATAATGATAAAGGGGAAAAGAAAGTAACTCTCCACTGACAGATTGCACAGGCTGCATTCGTACCCCTGCCGTGCATGCTGCTCTGGCAGTGTGAGAGGAATCTTAACATGGGGAAATTTACAATATTGAGGGACACACTTTCTTTCCTCCTGCTTCTCCATTTTGCCTGTTTAAGTGCAACCCCGATGCTGGGGATGCTCTGACTGCCTGCAGCTGCCATCATACCCTCCATTTTCTCAAAGTCTGTCTCTGGTTAAAGGCTTTTGGACAGACAGGGGAGATAGATAATGGTTAAAGCTGTCACACACTAATAGTCCAGGCATGTTTCACTCATGTCACTTCTAAGCATATGAGCCCTCTGATCTGATTTTAGCAAATGGCTGCAATATAACAAAGAGTGAAAAATTTAAGGGGGTCTGAATACTTTCCGTACCCACTGTATATATACTACTAAAAGACAAGACTTGTTTGGCACCTGGTTGTTGCAAAATGAAATTGTTCCATTATTACAATTGCATAAGTACTTTAAGCTATGCTGATTGTTCATCAAACGAGCGGCTGATAAGTGGAGTATATTGAGGCAGAAATTACCCTCTCAACCACGTAAGTACTTCTGAGGAACCTTGTTTAATGAAACCTCCACTTTACATAACCAAATAATTGGCCTATGCAAGTGGACCTGTTTTGAAAGCACTCAGGGTTCCAGTGCATACAGTACACAAGACCAGAGACCAGTAAGTATACAATCATCTTCTGGATTTAATTCAACCAAATGACACAGACAACAGTAGAAACACTCGGAAATTCAGTAATCAATTCACCATTCTATGACTAAAGCAGCTGGGGGCCAGACAAAGACGTCACTGGTAACAGTGTGATGCACATACTGCCTCAGTATCCCTCAAGCTCTCATAAAGATGTGGAAAGTTTACTTTGTTATTAGTTTTCTGGTGGAAATGTCACTGAATGCTCCATTTAAAATGAAAAGATTTAAACATTGGTCTGTATAGGATAATGCATCTAGTTGAGAAACGCTCAAAATGTTGCCTCAATAAATAATAGGTAACGTTTAAAGATTCGAAAGGTATAACTCAGAGCATTATTAGCACAGATTTATAAGTAAACTAACTCAAATATTTTAAAGGTATGCATTTCTGGAATGGTAATCACAAAACGTTTGGATGTCCATATATCTGGTGGTCTGAGAAAGCATTTGGATTACAGATTTCCACTTCCTTTGCATGTTTCTCTAACAGAATGGTTTTATATAATAGAGGCTAGACAAGGGAAACCTGCGAAAAAAAACAAAAACAAACGTTTTTTAATTATTTAATGGATTTTTTTTTGTTGTTGGTGGTGGTAATTTGATTCAAGACACTAGCACAGCTTAACCGGGTCTATTGAGTGTAAATTGCACATATATTGAAACTTTCCATCATGTAATCAGCACAAAGAATCTATAGGCACATAATGGCACAATCCAGGGGTGTCCAATCCTACTCCTCGAGGAACAATGTCTTGCAGAATTTCTAGTGATCATGAAGACCTTGATTAGCTAGTATAGGTGGTGTGTTTAATTGGGATTGGAGCTAAACTCTGTGGGATAGTGGCCCTCCAGGAGCAGGAAACCCTTGCCAATAATCAAAGCTGAAAAGGCAGAGAAAAATGGATCTTTCTGGAAAGGGTTATAAAGCCATTTCTATGGTTATTGGACACAGTGCAGGCCAACACCTCCAAATGCAGCAGGAAATTCATCTAAAAGACAACTTCAGATCCAAATCGGAAAGACTAAAAATAATCAAAGTTAAAGTTTTGACTTTAATCCAATATTTAAAGAGGCATTTATGTATCAAACATGGGTAATTTTAAGTCTTTTAACTATTTTAATTTGAATTGTTTCTGATCAAATTTAAATATTTTTTCAATTAATGTTATCTGAAAGCAGCTTTACAGAAAACCATGCCTTATTATTATTTTTTTTTTATCACAAAATAACAAAATAAAAATGCTGCATGTGTGGAAATCCATTTTGTTCTCCAAATATCCAAATTATTATAATAGTGAAACATAGAAATAAGGAGAAAATACTTATTTTCATGCCACTGTATAT